CTGATAATGACCCCCCCACCCCCCCTTTAAAAAAGTGTCTCTAAAAAGTTCTCCTTCCACATCCTTTCCGATTCTCTGGTCCTGTTTTGTCATCTGCTTTCACCTTTACACCCCCCCCCCCCCAAATCTCCTACCTCAACGGCCTCCTCTGCGTTCCGTTCTCCTTTAGTCCTGGCTCTTTCTAGTGCTTCTGATGGCTCCTTCTTAATGTGTCTGTTAGCCACACTCCTGAAGAAAGATCGAACACCTTCTCGGAAGTGCCATGCGCGGGCTGCAACCGGGTGAAATTCAAAATTAATTCCTGCCAAAACTGAAAATATTCTAGATCTAGTCAATATAAAAACATACATAGCATCCTTCGAAATCGGAATGTGGCTGCCTGAAGGCAAGGGGTCTTACGAGATAGAAAAAACCCGAATCCATACCTAAAAATCAGTTGCGCTACAGGTGAAGAACCAGCAATCGAACACCCTTTAAATCTAGCAAGGGAACGCAAAGAAGATCTTCTGCACTTAAAAGACCTATTTGTGTTGCAAGTACTGTAAAAGTTTTACTTCAAACGAAACTAGAGAACCCCAGACTTCTGTGTGGCAATACAAATTTGTCACATGCTGCATCACGGTCACCTTGCTTTGGGCTAAAGTCAAAAGAAGTGCACAATGTTGAAACACGATGAAATACCCCCCCCCCCCTTTCTTCCCCGACCCTACCCCCACAGCCTCCATCCCCGTTCCTTCTCGCCTCCTCCTTTCTCAGCCCCCGCTAAAGTACACAAAGCTAATGTAGACACACGTGCGAGCACTCACACACAAGCAACAGCGTAAAAATTCACGTGTTATTGGCGTACGTAGGTGGCGCACTGTGTATACTTTTGGGTAACCAAATCTTGGCATGTTCCTCATTGGTTCTTTTATGTTTTGTTTTGTTTTGCCGTGCGCTTTAATGTGTTTTTGTTTGATGTTGTTCACAGCCTGAGCCAGAAACGATAATCGAGTAGTATATATAAATGCCATAGAATATAGTGACTGCCATAAGAACCAGTTTTACGGATTCTTGCAGGTAATTACACGCTCACACTCATTTGGCAAACAGAAAACGTTTTTGATATACTTTGATTTAAAGTTGCAAACTTTTCAAACTTCGTTAGCTGAGAATGACAAAGTTGCCTCTGCCGTTTTTGGGTCATTTTCAGTTACTGAAACCAAGAGGCCAGAAACCACATGGTCTGTCTCATCTGCCAAGATCATAAGACCACTCGAAGTCGTTATCAAGCTATTCAAAGAATTAATTGCTTTCGAAAAAACTTGTCCAAGTTGTGATACTCAACATTTTTCAATTCAAATTTCTCCAAACTAGATACTGAGCAGATAGGGCTCTATAATTCTAGAGAGCGGAGTACTATGCATGTTAGATGTTCTTTTTTCAATTCAGAAATGGACAATGACTCTATAATATTTCTGTTAGGGCGTAGTGGACATTTGTGTCAGATCATTAGAAGAACAACGGCAATTTTGTGGCACATTCTAAGCTATCATCCACACATTAGAAAATATAATATACAAAATTCTAGATTTTTAAAACTGTTCTCTAAGCCTAAAATTTTGATTTTTGATTAAAATATTGCATTGTCTTAATCTGTGCTATCGTTTGCTTGTGCTCAGGACACGTTTTGGCGAAGTTCAACATTCTGAATGTTTGCAAAAAACCCAAAAACAAAAACAAAAACAAAAAAGCAACAAACAAACTAGAAGACACGTAATGTTGTAGGTACAATTGTTAAAAAGATTAAATAGTTTTTTCTAACTAAGGAAATATTTTGATTTCTTTGCATAGGGCATTTGAACAGCTTGCACACAATATAAATGATGCAGTCAGTCTTCCTTTTATAAAGTGTAACGAAATCTCGCACTTCGAGCGTTATCGAATGACCAGATTTGTCGTCCTCTGTCAGCTAAACCTCTTTGGTAGCGAAACAATTGTCGGCTTATTAATAAAGATAGCACAGTGAGTGTGTTTTTGTAAGTGTTCGTAGATTTATGTATGTTTTCTTTTTCTTTTCTTTTCTTTCTTTCTTTTTAGGGAGGGGGGGGGGGTTCTTTTATTGATGATAAATACACCTCAAGTTAAAGGACATGACCCAAACAAATAAACTACAAATTGTCAGTATTCCAAAGTATGACAGACAACACGTTTACATCTCAAAAACATGAATGGAAGTCGAAAAAAGTTACCTGCACGGTCAGTCAGTTTTGCTAATTTCCCATCAATCCCAGGCCACCAACTGACCAGTGGGTCCTGCAGTCAACAGAGGCGAGCTCATCACGTGGTTTTGGGGTCAGTGTTGAAGTAACAGGGACGAGCACGTTAGTGTTTTGGACATCCGAACATGTTGGTGAGTACAATATTGTACATTGACCTGGGATAGAGTGTTGATTGGTAACTGCAGGGCGCATAATAATAGTAGTAGTTATTATTATTATTATTTTTTTTATTATTATTA